AAAAGTCAGTATTTAACCAGTATTCCTTTCCTGCTCTGGTAACAGAAAGAAGACGAACTATCAATCTACAAGTGAAAAGGTAAGTCTTTTGTGTTCAGTAGTGTGTTTAAAAAGTTTTAGATGCATTTACAGCTTCCTATCACATAGTCTCAAACGCCACACAACTACAGCACCTTGCTCAATACTTTGCCATCTTCTACGTATCAATTAACCAAGGAAACTAACTCAGACACAGTCCAGGGCAGCAGTGAGTGTGAGAAAAAGACTGGGCCTTAATTCCTCTAAGAATAATGCGTGTCAAAAGACTTGACTAAATATGGAATCTGAACGTACTACTTTTTTTCCCCTCTTTTAGAGGGGTTCAGAGGCTTTAATTGTGTGTACTTCGCTCCAGCTTTTCAGATTGGTGCAAAAAGAATGGTGCTCCAAATAAAACTTAAACTAAGAGCAACTTAATTTCACAATCTATACTTTAAGGCTATTAAGTAGCATTAGCAGTACTAATGTAGCCTTGAAAGCTCCCTGAACGCAAGTATCTTAATCAAAACTGAACATAGTAAATTGCATAAGCCTGTTCCTTAACTTAGCATGTCTATAAGGAACTTACTAAGGCCAACTACCTGGTTGCTCTGAGTGGGAAGGAGCAAGTTTTGAAGAGCTGTGGTATCTGTTTATCTGTATTAATGCACATACGAATCCAATGCTTGACAGAGCTGTTTGATACTTGTATTTATGAATAGGTTATTACTTCTGTTCTGTGTAGCAGTGCATTCCTTAGACTTCCCATTCCAGAAAATAGTAAACATTAACTAACAGTGCCTCAGACATACTTTTTGTCAATCTCAATGCCTTAATTTCTTCTGAAATGTACTCTGTTCACCTGTTTAAAATCTTTGAACTATTACTTATATAGCCTTGTTTGCTTTGTTTAGGATTTCAAGCATACCAAGTCCTTTGTTATTTAGAAGATTTCAGCCTCTGTGAGGGACATCAAAAGAATACTTGTTATACAAAAATATCAAAGTCTCCTGGTTTCGACTGGGATCTTTTTCTTCCTAGTAGCTGGTACAGTGCTGTGTTTTGGATTTAATGTGAGAATAATGTTGATAACACGCTGATGTTTTTGTTGTTGCTAAATAATGCTTACACAAAATCAAGGACTTCTCCGTGTCTCGTGCTTGGCCAGTGAGGAGGTGCACAGGAAGCTGGGAGGGAGCACAGTGGAACACCTGACCTGAGCTGGCCAAAGGGATGTTCCACACTGTATACCCTTGTGCCCAGTGTATAAACTGGGGCAGTTGGCTGGGAGGGACCGATCGCTGCTGGGGGACGGGCTGGGCGTCGGTCAGTGGGGGTGAGAAACTGTGTTGTACATCACTTGTCTCTCTTGGGCTTTGCTCCTCTCTCTCCTTTTCATTACAATTGTTATTGTTGTTATGATTATCATTACTATTATTGGTATAATTAAATTTTGTTTCAATTATTAAACTGCTGTTACCTCAACCCGCAACTTTTACTTTTTTTTCCCAGTTCTCCTCCCCACGAGGGCTGAGGTAGGTGGCAGTGACCGAGTGGCTGCCTGGGGCTGAGTTGCTGGCTGGGGTTAACCCAGGACAGTCCTTTTTGACACCCAACAGGTGACTCAAAAGGGTTGAGATAACGACAGATCCGACCAGAGTGTGTTAAATTTGTTTTAAGCGTTCATTGCGTTGGTTTAATAGTTGCTGGTCACCATGTTGATTTGTTTGCTCTGGGTGTGGGCTAAGGTTGTCACTGTGGTGTTCTTTGTCGTACTGGCTTGTGATATGAATGGGGTGGCTGGCCGTGAGCCTCGCCCGGTGTGTGTCCTCTCCGCCCCTCGGCAGCCATCTGGTGGAAATTATCCACAATTGCATCGATTGCCTTTTTCCCTCGGAGAGCCAGTCTGCGGGAGAAACATCATCTTTCCCCTCCAGGATGATTACAGTAGTGTTTGAGAAATCTAAACACTTTCGATATCCTTTGACCACCCTTGAAACCAGCCTGGTCCTTTCGCTGGCAACCAGCACATTGTTGCATGTGGTTCAGGTCGTCTTCAGGATTAAGCAACAGTCTGTGGCTACTCAAACCCCCGTGAGAAGTGTTGTGGCTACTCAAAATCCAGCAACACCTACTGTGCCTTCACAAACTTCAGTGACAGGCCAACAAGACCAAGAGGCAGCCACTCAATCCTTATCCCTGAGTGAGCCGTGGGATATACAGGAAAATTTCAGCTATTGTCCCGGTGAGTGCAGGACCACCTGGCTGCTCCAGTGCTGGGATAATTGGGCTAACAGTTTGGAGTTGGAGGGTAGGGAAGCCAAGCAGCTGGGATCACTTTCTAGGGAAGCAGGCATTGTCGAGGTGATTGGAAGAGGGACACAAGTTCTCAGCCTCTGGAGGCGACTTCTGTCAAGTGTGAAAGAAAAGTACCCCCACAAGGATGTTCTGTGTTGCTCAGGCAAGTGGGCAGCAGTAGAGAAAGGTATTCCAGTGCCTGAGGAAATTTTGACCTGAACAACGCAGGGTTCCGCACAGATTCAGACTGAGTCCTACACAGCCCAAGTGGCAGAAACTTGTAGAGAGCACACACCAACCCACTGGCAACATTCATCTGGAGAGGTTCCACACTACCAACAGTGGATGCAGTGGCTCCACTTCTTCAGGGGTGCAAAGACAGCCCCTCTTCCTCTCTCATCGCATCTGTGAAGAAACTGTCAGATAAACCGTCACAGGAATTCCAGCAGTTTGGAGAGGGTGTGTTCTATTCCCCACCTGCACAGACCTGCATCTCAGCTAGTAACAGTAAGCATCCACTGGCTCAAGGGGGAGGATATGGAAAGTACACACCATGGGATACCCTGTGCTTTTAGCTGAGGGACTAGAGAGAGGACACGAGGAATTGGGATGGAAGACCTACCTGAACCCTAGAGACATGAACTGCAAGGGAAAACAATCCCAAATGGGAGTTCTTCCAGGAAATCTGCTCCTCCAGTTTCTAGTGGCCAATTTCCCAGGCAGAGTGGAAGGGGTGAATTTACTCTTGATCCTATGGAAAGAAATTCTACTCCGTTTCTTCAAGAACTAAGCTTTCTTAGGCACTGTGGGTTTTCAGAAAATGCATGTTACAAACTACAGTCTGCGCCTTCTATCGAGTGGCTCAGAGAAATGACTTTGCATGGGGCACCAAGCAGCACAAAGCCTTTGAACAAATTAAACAAGAAATACTTGGAAAACACTCATACATAGACAGGTGGGCCAAAATCTACCCATTGAGTGGGTAGATTGCATCCCCTGCTGTGCACCAGCCTCCAGGAAGATCAAATGATACAACGGACTGTTCAAGACTACCCCAAGAACTATGGGTGTGGGGACCTTCAAACATTGGGATGTGCATTGGTAAAGGTCACCTGGTGAGTCAGCACCAGAGGGTCTGCTAGTTGGGCTGGCCCTGCCTGACCAAAGCTTCTACATACTATAGAAGGGAATAAAGTTCCTGTAGTGCTCATAAAAAATATGCTGGGCAAGACATTCTAAGTTATTGCTGCCTCAGGCAAAGACAAACCCATCCATGCTTTTGCTCAAGGACCTGGGCACGCTTGTTAAGGCAGAAGGATGGAGAAGTCTGGGTTTGATTTTGGGTGAGAACAGCCCAATGAAATTAATTGTGTGATGTTAATTGCTATTTAACACTGTATTATCACTTCTGTAGCAGCTGTGTGCCCACCATTGCCTGGGCACCTCACAGTGCCTGCCTCCACCACTCCAGATTTGGGGACCTGAACCCAAGTCCCCTTCAATCGCGACATTTAGAAGGAACTTTGATGAAAGCAGACAAGCACAGCAGTGATGGAATCAGAACTGGTTTCAACATGGAACAATCCAGCACTACACAGTATCTTTCCTACCCTGAGACACTGTTATGACAGATGGAGCCAGAAGATCATGGACTAAATGAACTCAATGGACTTCTATAGGGATTGTCTGTAGACTAAGGAAATGGTATCTGTGTATCTATCAAAAGACAGGAGAGGTGGTGGTGTATTGGAAAGTGTGGGACCTGGCATGTGGGACCATGGGGGATGGTGATGAGCACCTGTGCTGTACATCACTTGTGTTTCTCAGGTTTTATATCTATATATAACTATTACAATTATTATTACTTTGTTTCAATTATTTACCTGTTCCCATCTCAACCCACGAGTTTCGTTTCCAATTCCCCTCCCCACAGTAGTGGGAAGGGGTCAGGAAGTGAGCCAGAGGCTGTGGGGTGCTGAGTTACCAGCTGGAGTTAAACCACAACACAAAGAGATCCTTTGACCTCTACACAGTAAATATTGTTTCCAAGTTCTACAAACTGAAAATAGTAAATACTGAAAATACTGCCAATGTTCAGATCTAGTCAACTTAACTATCTGTGATGGCATTTAAAAAAAACAACCCCAAAAAACCTAAAGTAACTTGTATATTGAATCTGTGTGAATACTTCTCATTTTGTTCACATCAACACGCAGCAATACAAGATTCACTCTTGCAGCTTGGAAGAAATTTTCTCAAATAACTTCCACAGATGCCCTTGCTACCAGACTTGTACTACTTATGTCTCGACCATTGTCAAGGGCTCAAACTTTCCTGCAATTCTGATTTACTAGGACCTTGAAACTGTATTAGGTTTGCCAAAGCCATCTGTAAGTCTGTAGTTGTGCAGAATTAAACTCAATATCCTGACAGAATAAACCTTCCTGTAATTAAGGCTCAAGCAGTGTTTTACTGTCTAATGTGAAGGTCTCTCCCTCTCTCTTGCTGTAGGCTGCATATGTAATTTCATTCTGAAGAAAACATCTCACCACTGAAATGTAGCTCAGCAAAGGGGTTTTGCAGTTAACACTGAGGAACACTACTCAGCTGCCTCAGCCACTCAGAGCTGATGACCACAGCGAACTACACTCGCCCTAGTCAAGAACTTCTTCACAGCACTGGAGTCAAACTGAAACACTGTATTTATTAAGATACAACAGGTGCCCTGTTCAGCAACGCCATGGCTGCACACGGCTGCAGAGATCACTTTGGAGCCTCCTCAAATTTGGGCTCTAAAGGGAGAAAGAGAAAAATCATATTAGTCTCTTTTTATTCGTTCCTCAGACACCACAATTAATTTGTAATTCAAAGAAAATTAACCATCAGGTTGGCAAGCTAAAGCAAGCTCCTGGACACTGCAGTTTACACCCTCCGTTACTTTGCATAAGTCTGACTGAATGTGGGCAGCACTAAAACCAAAACCACGCTGCAGACAGGTCTTTTCCACCTTGCAGGAGTTACCCATAAAGGCTAAGATTTAGTAACATTCTGCCAAAACAGCTTTTAGCAACACCTGGAGTGGTGGAGAAGGCAGCAGGGAAACTGGAGAAGTCAACCAGGACATTAGGGACATGACAAAATATTTCCAATTCAACTCTGATACAAGAACAAGAAACCAAGCTTTTCTCTCCTCTTGATTAGTGTTATTACTGTATATTAACAGAAGGGAATGCAAAATTTCAAATCTACTCTCCACACGCAAACACTGAGGAAAGAGTTCTTGGTGCCAAAGATACAAACTCAGAAGGGTTAGAGCTTTGGGCAGCTGGGCTACTAATGTCTGTTCTTAATACTAGGTCTGAGAGGTAAGGTTTGGCTTATAGTAATTGTCCCTAAGAGAAAAAAATTGAAGTTCCTCTCCATATAACCACTCAGTTTTGAAACTTTGTTGAAATCAGATTAACGATAGGCAACAATGATAAAAGAACACTCGTGTGTATGTCTCCACTTTGCTCTGTTTCTATGATCACACAATTTTTGTTTTCTTCAAAAAACAAATCTGAAATTTTAATATGCATTGTTTCACATATGACTCAGAAATAGAATAATATAAAGAATATATTAATATAAAGAAACCACATCCGTAAAGGAGGGGGAAAAGAAAAAAAAGAAATACCACAAATCCTACTTTACAGATACTCTGTTTTATTTGCACCAGTAACAACCTGACACCAACTTCACCCAACTGAAATGTTATGAAAATCCATAACATTTTTAGGTGTGTTCCTACTCTAAATCATGAACTACCAGTTCAGTCTGGTCAGAATTATGATGGTGGCTTGGCCTTAGCTGGCTGCCAGATGCCCACCAAGCCTCATGCTCTCTGCTCCTTCCCTTCCACACTAACACAAAGTTAGAGCAGTTAAACAGAAGTCAGACCCAAATAGCCAAAGAAAAAGGTTTAATACAATTTAGCCACAAAGTATCCATAAGTAAGAAAGTTAAGTTCTATGTTCATTTTCTGAAATCACTGGCTTTCCAGAGGAGCTCACAAAATCTGAAAATCACAGTTTGGATGATTTAAGACAACTGATTAACAAATTCTAGTCTGCTGATCTCTTCAGTAGGAAGAGGAAAAAAAGTACAAGCCCTGGGCTATTTCTATTTGGGCTCTTTCTTTAGGGTCTGTGAAGGGCAATTAAGATACCCTGACCTGACTGCAAGTTTTGTTAAGCATCAGTATAAGGCAGTCCAAATCTCTACTGGAAAAAGCAAATAATTAAAAAAAAAAAAAAGTCAGGTGGAATCCGATGTGTATTTTGTGAAAGCAGCAAGATTCCCAGAGGACATCTTACACGAAATTAATGGTCCAAATAAAGGCAAAACGGAAATTAAGAAAACCCATGAGTGAATATGTCCTTACTTGCAACTGGAATTCAGTAAGATTGTTGACTCACCCTCAAATTTAAATTCTGGGAACTTGGTTAGATCTCCCTCACCATACGCCCGCTGGAGTCTTGCAAGGGATTCATTCATTTCTTTCTGAAATTCAGGTCCTGCATCAACGGGCCCTCCAGCTTGCCTAAAAAATCATTAGAAGTTGTGATTAACAACTCAGGTCTAACATTTCCTGGGGAAGTTCTACATTTTTATGCCCATGTATGAATTTAAAAACCTTTTCCATAACCAACCAAAGGAAACCATTGAAAGTATTTCTGAAACCCAAGACATGACACACCTTAGGGCCTCCTTACCTTACACATGAATGAGGTTCTCAGGGTAAAGTACAGGCTTTCGGCTATTAGAGGTGAAAATCCAAGCTACAGAGGTGGCCTTTTGAGACAGAAAACTACACTGAGTATCCAGGCTCTCAGGGCTTTTAGTTTCACTTGTTCCACGAGTAAATTCCTAACAAACACTGATTTGCGCCTCTGCTGTCTCTGAATTAGTCACCTTGGTTAGTAAAGCTCAATTGATCTTGCAAAGAGAACATGCTTTGAATATTAGAGAAGCACAAAAAAAAATTCACAGCAGGAACTTCTTGGGATACAAATATAAAACAATTAAATTAGTAAGTGTAGATTACCAATGCTCAGTAGCACCAGCACAGGTAACACTTAGGATGGATAAACCCATCAAAAATCTGCCTCCCTACACAGACTGGTAATAGGTGTGGAAACTCACAACTTTTACCAGCAGAGCTAAGAAGTGACTTATTTCCTTCCCAAGAATGATTCCCAACAGAACATTACTATAGTTTCCTGTTCGGTAGTTCATTCAAGCATTACAAGAATCTAAGATTCCATCTGAATGATGTAGAACGAATTATCCTGATAATTCCATTAATTCTTGATTGTATTTGGAAACAAGACTGGAGAATAATGGTTTACCCCAGAAAAAAGAAATAAAGAAAGGCTTGGTTTTGCTTTTTCCCCACCCGCATTTACAGAGCACATAGGTGGGTAAAAATCAGCATACTGGGACGTGCCCATAGCTTGCAAGAGGCCCTAACTGGGTGCCTTAACCCCCCAAGAAGAACAACACCGACCTTTTTCTTTTTTAAGGGAAAAAAATGTGACATTTTCCATTAGGTGTGCAAGAACAAATCTTCTCACTGGTGACACCATCAGTCAGTGTTGCAGAAAAGCCTTAACACCTGAAGTATTTAGAGGCCAGCCTACAAAGCTATTAAAGTGCAGTCAAATATCAAACAGCTCATGTTTCATGGTCTTATGTTAAAAATCAATATTTTTTCCCCTTTTGGCATCAGCTCCCCCCCACCCCCTTAAAATAATTTCCTTTACTCACTTGCTCTTCGTGTTGTACTCTCTGATCTTGTCCAAGAAGAGCTTCTGGACTGGGTCGAGCTCCTTGGTCTTGTTGAAGACGATGGCAGAGAGCCCGATGTTCCTGCGGAGCTGCACGGACACAGCGGAGCGGAACAGGGAGGAGAGACGAAGGATCTGCCGCAGGATCATGATCGCAAAGGTGCTTCAGCCTTTAAAAAAAAAAAAAAACCAACAAAACAGGAATACTGAATTACTCACCGCGAAGTAAATGCCTAAAGAAGCAAACAAAAAGTAGTTTGGAACTGAACTTTAAAACAGGAAGGTATCTAAAGGTATTTGAGTGGTATTTAAGGATCTTGAAAGGGAGGAAAGCCGCAAGGATCACGATGACACTGGTACTTCGGGCTTTAAAAAACCCAAAAAATACGGAATTAAGTTACCACCATGTAAATGCATAACCAAACATAAAAAAAATAGATTCCGCCTCAACTTTAACCCAGAAAGGTATTTATAAGTATCTCAAGGTACCTAAAGGATATTTTAAAGGGTACTTAAAGCAACATGGAGGCTGGAGTAGAAACCGAACCCGAGGGCACCGTGACACCGCGGGCGCTGCCCCGCGGCCCGCTCGGTGCCGCACCGCGACCGAGCCAGCTGGACGAACCAGGAACGTCAAATTTCACCTCGTTTAAGCCAAAGAAAGGCACAATTTTAACCCAACCCAGGCCCCCTCCGGAGTCACCTTGGCCGAGCCGCCGCCGCTGCCCCAGCCCGGCCCCGCCCCGCCCCGCGCGGTACGCCGGGACCCGCCCCTCCGCGCGCCCCCGGCGCCGCTCCCCCACCACCCCCCCGACACCGCGCGGCCCCGCTCGGCGCCCCCCGGGAGCGCGGAGGGGCAGCCCGGGCAGAGCCCGGCACTCACCGCGCCCGCACGGAGCCGCTCCCGGGAGACGGGAAAGCGCCCGGAGCCCTCCGGAGCCGCAGGGTCGCGCGGGGGCCGCCGGGAGCGGTAGTCCCCGCGCGGGGGCCGCCGGGAGCTGTAGTTCGCGCGGGGGCGCGGCGGAGTCGCGCGCCTTCCCCGCGCTGGGCCCGCGCGCCGCTCCGATCCCGGCGGGAGCCGCTCCCGGAGCCGCTCCTGGAGCCGCCCCGGAGCCCGAGCCGCGGGAGCTGCCGGACAAGGACGGCCGGCGGGACGCGTCGGCGCGGCGGGCGGGCGGGCGGACGGACGGTGGCGGCGGCGGGTGAGCGCGGCCCGGCCCGTGTTTTGTTTCCGTTTCTCCCCCGGCGGCTCCGCGATCCCATTTCCGTTTCGGGTTCAAACAACGACGCGGAGGCGCCGCGGGAAGCGGGGCCTGCGGGGACGCGGAGCCTGGGCGGGCGCGGGGAAGGGCCGGCGGGATGAAGGAGCGGGAGCTCCCGGCGCGGGGCTCCGAGAGGCCTCCCCGGGGCGGGAGAGCCCGTCCCGCGCGGAAAGCCCCGGGCTGGGTGGGAATCTGCGGGCTTGTGGCGTCTGGTGGCTCTCCCCTTCTGCTCGGCACTGGGCAGGCACCTCCCGTGCGGTGTCCAGTGCTGGGCCCCTCACTGCAGGAAGGACACTGAGGGGCTGGAGCGTGTCCAGGGAAGGGAACGGAGCTGGGAAGGGACTGGAGCACAAGTCCTGTGAGAAACGTCTAGGGGAGCTCAGCCTGGAGCAAAGGAGGCTCGGGGAGACCTTATCGCTCTCTACAACTCCCTGACAGGAGGTTGTAGGCAGATGGGGGTCGGTCTCTTCTCCCAGACAACCAGCGACAGGACAGGAGGACATCAGGCTCCAGCTGTGCCAGGATAGGCTTACAGTGGATATCAGGAGGAATTTCTTCACAGAAGGGAGGATTAGATATTAGAAGGGGCTGCTGAGGGAGGTGGTGGAGTCACCATCCCTGGAGGCTGTTCAGAAAACGACTGGATATGGCACTCAGTGCTCTGGTTTCATTGACAAGGTGGTGTTAGGGCATAGGTTGGACGGGATGATCAGAGGTCTTTTCCAGCCTAATTGATTCTGTGATTTCGCACAGTTTGGTTTCTGGTTCTGTGCCAGGTATGTTCTGCAGAGCCACAGCTCCCAGTTCCCATCTATTTTCTCATCTCGGGCTGTGGATAAGGAAGGTAAACACGTGAAATCTGGTGTGACTTCCCCCCACCCTGTTCACTGGTCTGCTATCTTTGTTGTAAATCCGAACTGGCGGAGTTGTAAAAGCTGACCTCTAAAGGACAGGCTGTTACCTACTTTGTGTTGGTATTTACAGTTTGGATAATAATTGGGATGGATAGGACCATATGGTGCATGTGTGCTGCACACGCTGGAGCTTCTCAGGAGCACAGATAACTCCAGTGACTGGACTTCAGTATCAGCTGATAATGCATCTGGGCCTCAGGACTGATCACAGTGACCTGGTGCAGTAGCAAACATTCTGCTAGCAGAGTTTGTGCCCATAAATCTTCCACAAATCCAGCACAAATGCTACTGTTGCAGTGTTCCTACCGCTTTACCCTCCAGGCAAGCCAGGCTCTTTGAGTCTTCTTGTCTCTCAGGAATCTTCAAGGAAGGCTCAAGCAGCTCAGTCCTGTGTCAACCTGTGTTCACTTTCAAACTCTGCATCATTCTGTAGCAGCAAACTTTGCTAGACTTCATGTGAAATGTTTGTATCATCAGAAGTCTCTTTATTCTGCTATAGGAAAGGCTGAATAATTTTCCCCAATATGCTTCTCTGAAATTTAATGACTTTACATCTTTCCGTCATGATGATGTTCTTCTTTTCACCCGTCATCTCCCTTCCTCATGTCAGTGGAAGCATCTTTCTTCCTTTCTGTGCCTGTGTTCCCCTCTCCCACCTCCCCAGGGATCCAAAATTACACCAGAACCGGAGAGATGCAAACACAAACTGCCTTTGAAGAGTGAGTGAACAGTTACTAGTCCATTTGCCCTTTTGGCATCCAATGCATGGGGCTTCAAAATGCCTTGCCTGATTCTCTGCAGTTACTATGTGCAGTAATATTTACTTTCCATCACTTTGCATTTAGCAATATTGAATATTTTCTGCCAGAAATCATTCAAGATGGTGAGTTCCTTCTACAAGTCTGCACAGTTTTCTCAATAAATAACTTATGAATATGTCAAGGAACAGAAATCCCAGACTAACCACTTTTGTGACCTTACTGGTAAACTCCTGTCATCACCAAAAAAAAAAAAAAATAAGATTTAGTCTTGTTTTGGGTTTTGAATCTGATTGCTAATGCAGAAAATACACTTACCCTATTTTTATCATGTCACTTTGCTTTTTGGAGAGTTTTCAGTGAGGGAAATTGCTCATACCTCAGTTTTGAAATATTTTTTAATAGTCAGGTCACCTGCAACCATGTGGGTGTCAGTACTTTCAGATATTTAAACCTATCTGCATTTTTTGGAAGTCTTATCATGAAGATGGTACACAAGATTAAGGGATACAGGAATTGGACTCCCAGGGCCCTGTTCAGTGGACACTACCTGGCCCTTTGGAGATTTTCACAGTGCCAGATCTGTGAACACAACAGGTTCTGGGTTTACTTCTTTCAGTGAGATCCTGATAAGCTGAGTTTTTACTTGTCTGGCTTTGGCAGCTTCTTACAGAATGGCACCACGTGCAGCATTTGATTTCTCTGCAACTGATCTTACAGAATAGGTTTTGAAGGAGATGATGAGTAATTTGAATTTCTTTAAACAGTTTATGTAGCAGCTGTTGAGTGTAGTTGGCTGTTAATTCCTGTAGAGAAGTTTTAAAGTTTAATAAGTTCCCTTATTAACTTGTCTAGCAAGATTCTTATGCTAACAGTCAGGTTTGGGATAGAGTAGTCTCTGGGAACAAACGAGTCCAGGATGGAAACCTCGATAATCTCTTCTTTTGTGGATATATTTAAATAGTAGCATGTTTTGGTTTTTTCTGCTGTGATTTTTCTCCCTCTGTGCTCTTAATTCCTGCTCCTTTTATTATGAGTTGAAGGTGTTATTTATTGTGAACTGTTAATATCATTTGGCCTGGTCCTCCTATCGTTTGTATTTCACAGTTATGATGTAGGGGCTGGTTAGTGAAACACGGTAATGCCAGGCAAGCTGTGTCTTTGCAGACCAAATACAACGTAATTCTTTCTTTCCCTCTTACGTTCCCAGCAGGCTCCAGTGTTTTACAAGGCATGAAAATCTGCAGTGTCAGTGATAATATCACAGGGTAGCTTTCCATTTCATTGCTACTGTCCTGCATTAGTTTGGGACTTCACAAGATGCATTCCTTGTGCATGACATCAACCCATCGCCCATGGGAGGGATGGGTGCAAAGATAGGACAGTCAACAAACACTTTGTTGTTCAGTTTATTTATCTATGAAGAAATCATGGATCTTCTCCCTAACTTCCTGCTGCAGCATTTCATGTAAAGTGCTGCTTAAATTTAGGAGCAGCAACTTTCAGCCTTGCTAGGAAAATAGTATGAATTTTCAGGTGATCTTTGCTGTAGGTGGCCCATAACAAAACAAAAGTCAATAAATTTGGATACCTCCAAGAGAATCAGGCTTTGGGCTCCGTGCTTATGTCCATTTATAGTCCTGGGTTTGCCCCTAGAACATTTGTTTGAAGAACAGGTATTGTCATCTGTTTTGTGAAATCTCTGTAAGCTTGGATTTATTTTTTAGATGAATTCTTGGCTTTAAAAGGGTATTCTGGTATTTGGTTTAAAAATAGGACCAAAAACATTATCTAGTCTTGTTGGTATGTGACTTACAAAAAAAATTTCTTTTCTGTTCCTAGCTCTGTTCTTAAGACATTTCAGCCATGACTAAGAGAGAAGCAGAGGAGCTGATAGAAATAGAAATTGATGGAACTGAGAAACAGGAATGCACTGAGGAAAGGTATGTACTGTCTGCTTTTTGGAGTCCTTAATCAGCACTTAATTAAATAATTAAGTTATTTTTCTGTTTCTTATCTAATTTAATTGTGTCTTTCTTAAAGTTGAAATGTAGCAACCATAGGAAATCAGTATAGTGCTGTCATGTTCCTCAGTCTTAATTATTTAAAATACAAGCTGTGATATTTATTTCTTCCTACCTTCATTTCTGTAGGAGCATGTCTGTGTTCATGTGCTACAGACCTTTCAGCTTCAGTGTATCCTTCTGTAACTGAGATGAACCTTCCAGTTTCTCCAGTCCATTGCTTTACTGTTATACTGGATTTCTACAGGATCATTTGTTTCTAACAGAGCAGAAATGATGTTCTATATTGACTGTAATGGTTGTTAGGGCTATTGAAACCATAGATACTGAAGTCTGATATCCTCTGACTTAATTATCTCAACCTGGTTTTTTTGGTTCTTAATGGATTAAAATCAGTGAGACCAAATTTAGAAATTCACTCTCTACCCAAGCTAAGAGTTTATTTGCATGGTGCTAAGGTTTCAGAGTCAGTATTAGCCTTTATTTAGTTTACTTCTTTTATTAGGCTTTCCTATTCCTGCTTCAGTAATGTGTGGGTAATGATTTCTTTTATTAATTTGGCATTTAAGCATCGTCGAGCAAACCTACACCACAGCAGAATTTGTGAGTCAGGCCATTGACATCAATGAACCCATTGGAAATCTTAAGAAGTTGCTGGAACCCAGACTGCAGTGTTCCTTGGATGCACATGAAATTTGCCTGCAAGATATCCAGGTAAATTGAAAGGCTAAGAAAGATTTAACCTCTTAATGGAAAAGCATTTTAAATGCTTTGTTCCTTCCTTCTATTTATTCCATTCTGTGGAATTCATGCTTCATGTGGAATACTAATTACAATTAAGAGTTTAACTTTATGTCAGGTTCATTATGATCAGACCATTTAATATATACACACTAGTTCAGTGGGAATAAAATAAAATATTTTTATTTTGTTCCTGGTGTAAGGGTAAGAAAGCGCCTTGCCAGTGAACAAAGAATGAGAACAACAACAATACTGCTTTCCCTTCAGGTAGCCCACATCATTCGTTACTGCCTGAACTTCTGTGAGTCTAATCTTGTCTTGAATCTGAGTGAAGTGAGAAGGTTTTTATATTACTCAGGTGTAGAGATAGCAAAGCATTACTCAAGAAATCCCTCCCTGTTTTTGCAGGCATCACCACGTGTTAGACAGGATAACTGTTTTGCATTCTGTTTAGCTCCATGTTTTATTTGTTGTTATAATCAGACATCTGTGGCTTTTCCAGAAGCAACAGGAGAATACTGTTGTAAAGACAAGAATTTTTATCAAGGTGTTTAAAACTCAGAAAAGGATCTGTAGGTAGTTTTCAAGTAGTGAAGGTACTGCCCAGTATTGCTTTGCTTCTTTTAGGTCAAAAATTGTCCTTCTAAGTGCCTTAAACAAAATAGGGTGGCACGTTTCAAATACGGATCAAATTCCTTTTGCTGTGTACTTTGTCTGCTAGCACTGAAAGTATTGCACACTTCAGAAGATTTGCTGCAGGCACCAGGGGTTTCTGAAGTTTGAAGGAGAATAAGTTTCTTGTATCTGTGAGGCTGATACATATTTTTAATTCTTTTTTTTAATGCCTTTATCAAGTTGGACCCGAATCGAAGCCTTTTTGATCAAGGAGTGAAGACAGATGGAACAGTGCAACTCAGCGTGCAAGTGATATCTAGGCAAGGTAATCAGTTATGCTGGTTTGTTGTACAGATAAACTAATACTGTAGGAATACTTCTAAGCAAATCTCCTCCTATTCTAGCTGTAAAACTGAGAAAATCACTGAATGCTTATGAAGCTTCAGAATCTCTTTCCTTGTGTACTATGGTTATAAGTAGTAAAATTAAAATAAATGTCATGGACTAATGCTATTTGAAATGTTTATTATAGGAACTTCATATCCTTTTATAAGTAAAAAAACCCAAATATAAACCCAAACCCTAAACAAATCTGAGTCAAATAATGACATTATGAGGATTTCCTCAAGGTTGAGTAGTTACTCAGATCAGACCAAATACCAAAGCAGGCAAAAGAAGTTTGTGTAGGTAGGTGACAGTTTCACCTCTGTGAGGTGAGTGAGACTGTGTGCTCACTCACAATTAGACTTTGAAAGTATATGTAGCTAACTGGAAATTCTTATCAAAGTCCAGGATTCTGTTGTCTGTTTTCTTTGGATGAGAAGTCAGAGTAAACCATTGTGACAGAGGAACATGAAGCAGGTTGATAGGGATTTGTTGGTGCATAGTTTTCATTTGTATTACCCGGTATGACAGGGTTTCCCCTTGCCAAATCTTCAGGAATTAGCAGCTTCCTTGTTTTGCTTTTTGTCCTGTTCTTCTGCTTTGCTCCTTCCATTTGTCTTGAGTGGAAGGACTACCACCACTCACTGAAGTCAATGTTCTTGTTGGGATGTGGGAACAGCTACAGGTGTTAGTTTACATATTTTCAGACGGTGACAGCAAGTTCCTACTAGAGTAGATTGGTTAGCTCCTTTGAGTTACATCAGCAAATTTTGAGGAGCACACTTTGTTTTCTTGTGGCTGCAGTGTAGGTTAGACAGAGGAAAACCTTTCTGCTTTGTATTAACAGTCTTCAGTAAGACACAATTTGCATTTAATGCTGTGTTGAATCCTCAGTTCCCCATATGTAATGGGGATTGAACTGCCTTTCTCTTTTAAAAATAAAATAGAAATATCCTTCAGGAAACTAGAAAAACTGCTCCTAATTCATACCAGTAACTTATAGTATTCAGTGCTCAGATTGTTATCTTCAATATTCTTCCTGTGTTTGGTGGGATTTTTTGTCTTTAATGTAAAACTGACCATATAGTACAAATAGCTTCTTGCCTCCCAACGCCATGGCACCCTCTCTCTTTCTCACTCTCTTTTCTCTCCTCCCTTAAAAGGAATATTTGAATATTAAGTACTTCTGCATAACTTTGGGACAATCCTCAGTGTTGTTTTTCAGGCCTTGACACTTTAATAACTCATAAGAAATCTGCATGTTGAAGGCATGTAAAATATGTCAGGACAGAATGTCAGAAAACAAATAACATGGATATAAATAAAAGGAAGATATTTGGATCACTGACAGGAAAATGGACTTGTTACCCTTGACTGCAGTGTCCTTTTGAGCCAGAGGAAAAAACAACTTCTTACACCAGCAGCATATTTTACTTGCATGGATGAGGTTTTGAAAGATTCTCAATTTACTTATTTTTATTTTCCCCCTACTTGTGTAATGTATACAATTCAACTAATAGTAATCAGTGGTGCTAATCCTTGGGGTAGATTGGACTCTCTTATTTCTTAGAAGCTGCTACATCAGTTCAAGTGTTCTATCAAATTTTCATTAGCCATATGGAAATGCAAAGGAATAAACACCAGCTGAAATATAGTCCAGTGTAGTTCTTTTATAGCATTTCATACTACAGTAGATAAAATATCATTCTTGATTCTACCTTGCCTTATCTCCTTTCTCCTGGTTGGAGGAATGAAGATGTGTGTGGTTTTCCTGCCATTATGAGAACAACGGCTTTGAGTGCAGCCCAGTTCTGTACCGCTCTGAACTGGTCTTCTTGCAAGTCTGGGGAGATCTGAATAACTGTATTCCATTGTATGTCAAAGAATTTGAAAAAATCTTTAATTTTGAAGACCTCCATAGTGAAATATTCTGGGGTATTTTCCTATAACAATTTCTGCTTTTATTATTTTTGATGTGTAAAGGGACAAATAAATGTAATGATGCTGATCTAGATTAACAGCACAGTTTGACTGATGTCCAGTGTCTGGCTGTGTTTAATACTAGACCTTTCAGGGTGGAAAAAGCGGGCTGTCTGTAGGTCAGTCTTCACCTGAGTATGTTCTCTACCTTCAGACAATTGACAGTGAAGGGGCATGTCCTGGTAGCTCATGTCCTTGAAGCTTTGTACTCCTTGTACCAGTTTATGCTTTTGGGGTGTGTGTCAGAGGAATACTGGGCATCCATTCTCTCATGCAGTAGGTGGAGGGAGAAGAGGTGTGAGGAGAGATGCTGCCAAACCCAGGGAATTAATGTTGCTCTAGTGTTGCAGGAGGTTAGGTATCAGACTTAATTCACAACATTTTTCCTTGTAAGCTGATTCCTCTACAGAGACTCATCGCTTTGATCTCCATGTTTGTGTTGTGGATAAAGCACAAAGTTCTTCTGACATGTAATTATTTGACAGATAGTGAATTATTTTGTTGAGCAGTGGTGAACTGTTCCTCGCTAGAAACTTTTTTCTTTACTTTCTTTTTTGAAGATCAAAAATAGAATCTTAACCCTTAGTGTTTTTCCTTACCCATTTTTATCTGATTTTGAAAGAAGCCTGTGCTCTGCATGTTAATTTTAGATGTCCTAGATAAAATACTCTCCTAAATAAGGTACTTGTTTGCTTTTCCTTTTGTTTGCTTCTTCATCTAATGAACCACTTATTTGTTGTCTGCATCTATTTTCACTTCCTTAATTTCACATTGCTGCCAGTTGTACTTAGGGTGTTTGTAGTGGTCCCTTTCTAATATTTTTCTCAAGCTGAATTCCTTTTAAAATCTAGAGGAATACTTGTCTGAAAAAGACTTGCTTTGTTCTTACTTGTAGGACAGGTAGGGACTGCATTTATTTTCCCTTCCAAGCTATGACTGGATTGTGGCTTCAGCTGTTAAGGCTGTTACCTGGAGAACTTATCTCACATTGAGCTTTAATACAGATTAGACAGGAGGGACAAAAACTAATACTTTTTGGCTCAAGGTACTGAATTTATCCTGGCCATATGATGTTCTGTGAATCCTACTTTCATCTGCCTAACCTAGTCAAGGTTTTCCAAGTGATAATAAGATGGAATTTTAAAGATTTTTTTTTTTCTGTGCAAAAGTGTTTGATAAGAATATCTTCAAAGAGATGTGGTTGTTAGCTGTCAGTACAATGGAAATATAAATTCCGTTGTAATGAAAATAATATGTCAGAAAAATAGAGATTATTTTGCAAAATCTTCTATACAACGTCAGGAATTTGGTGAAGGCACCTTCTGGACAAAATACCTTCTCAGAAGACGGCAGAGAAGGTGGTGATACAAAGCATTAGTGAATGTGTTCTTAATTGCTGCAGAATAATTACAGACATATCTTCCAGCTCCATGATTTAATATCTGAAATGACAGACATAAAGCCAAAACATGAATAGCTGATAAAGCTTGAAATATAAAGAATTTTCTAGTTTTCTTTTAACTCGCTGTTAAACATACTACCTGCCACAGAGTACTGAAAAAAAAAGTTATCTACTCTTTGTAGACTCCAGAGATACCAGAAGAGTATTATAAAGGCTGAAAACAGTGCCTCATGGTTGGAGGAAAGGGCTGGATGCTTGTTCTGGGTCTTCTTGGGGGTTGCTGGTTTGGGGATTTTTTTAATTATTTGGTATATTTCTTATAGCCCAAAATACTTGTACTTTATGCCCACATGCTGAACATTCTGTTCAAGATCTGTGAAATGGATCACCTAAATAGAAAAGGAAGCTGTAATACTGGGGGAGGAAAGAGGGACAGCTTTCTATTCACCTTCCTGAAGTATATGCTGTATAATAGGATATATGTCATTCTAATTTAGGACGCTCACAGAAATTTAATGCTGCTTTTGTGTCGTGCTTCTTCCCTGAGTGTACTAACCCTACTAATCAGAAAACTTTAAAACAATTTTTTTGTGATATTGGCATTACTAGCTTTGTTTTGTGTTTGTTTGTTTGTTCTTTCCATATCTAGGGATAGAGCCCAAGTTGAACATCCTTGAAATTGTGAAGCCTGTGGAGACGGTGGAGGTGGTGATTGATCCAGATGCTCATACTGGAGAGGCTGAAGCTCACCTCGTTGAGGAAGCTCAAGTGATAACCTTGGATGGAACAAAACATATTGCAACAATTTCAGATGAAACCTCTGAGCAAGTGACACGATGGGCTGCAGCACTGGAAGGCTACCGGAAGGAGCAGGAGCGCCTGGGAATTCCTTACGGTAATAGTGACACGGTGTGGTGTGCGTTTTGGGCAGGGTCTGAGTTCTTGTGTTTGAGGGGTTGGTGCTCAGGCCCTCAGAAAAGGCAGCTGAGGGTGTGGGTAAGTACAGTGCAAGTATCTGCATAAGGGAACTGTGGAACCATGGAATGGTTTGGGTTGGAAGGGACCTTAAAGATCATCTCATTCCAATCCCCCTGCAGGGCAGGGACACCTCCCACTAGACCAAGTAGCTCCAAGCCCTATCCAACCTGTCCTTGAACGCTTCCACGAGTGAGGCAGCCACAGCTTCTCTGGGCAGCCTGTTCCAGGGCCTCACCACCCACACAGGGAATATGAAGACTAAGGAGAAGTACAGTGAATGCTCATAAGAGTTTTATTAAATCAGAATTTTTTGCTCCATAACTTTTTTGTCAATGCAGTTTTTAGAAAGCACTTTTCTTCTTCCTACCCTCCTTAAAAACATGTTTGTTAATGATAAAGGTCTTAACGTGTGTGTGAAATTGAACTAGACCCAGTACTTGTTGGGGGTTGCTTCTAAAGTAGTGAAACTGGAGGATGATAAATCTTGTGTTAAATCAGATTTTGCATGGAAAGCCATACTGGACTTCAGCATACTGGAGGAAGATGATTCAGAACTGTCAATATGTATTCTGGTAGATGATCATCTCCTTTGAATTAATGTTGTTACTTAGCAGGCTCCTCTTTTAATGGTAGCTTAGAAAAATCCATCTTTGAATGCCTGCTTAAAAGTTGAACTGAAACTGTGGGGTTTAGACCTGTATCACATTCAGGAGATTATTTACCTCTGTTGCTTCGTGTCAGAAATGTACTGTGAAAGCATACTCAGCACAGGAAGCTGTAGTATCTGAGCAGACCTGTAAAACTGGAATATATTTGGCAAGTGGGATATTTGGAAGTGTTTTAAGAATTCCAGTCAAGTCACAGGTCTTTGCAGGACATGTAGCTTGACGATATTTTGAATATATTTTTGATAACTAAAGCAATAGTTTTTTCATGGCTTTTTGTTGTTCTTATTGGCAAACAGTTCAAAAATAGTTGTCATCATGTTGTGTCTGTTGATAATCAGGGATTTGACGCAAAATGTTGGAAAAAAAATCTGAGGGATTATCAGGAGCAGACTAATACTTTTCAGAATGCTTTCACATTAATACTAGAAGAAAGTTACTTAAACTGATGTTATGTTGAATAATGTTTGTAATAAACTTGCATAACATTGATGCTTTAAGAAAACCCACATAACCCACAGCTGTGACTTTAAAAGTTTAATGAATGTATTTTGGGTCACAGGAGTGCAGATTTTTCAGGAAAATCATGCTAGGTCATTATGACAGAGGTCTCTCTGTCATGAATAATTATTTTCCCTTGACATCAGAAAAATGTGCTAAACTGCCTTCCTAGAAAGAATAAAATTCTAAATGTTTTCTAAGTAGATATTGCAGGGACTTGGGCTGAAATCAGGTACTCCTAGGTTCTACAGTATGATCTGAAACTATTCCTTCAGTCTTTTCAGAATACAGAGTCTTGATATTAAAAGTCACATCCAGTCAGTAAATGATCATCTGGAAAGGTAGTTGTTCAGTGTTTTCATCCTTACAGGCTTCTCAGCTTTGCTGTAAATGGAAAATGAGCTTTTAACAGGTCTTTAAAATGTGGCTTTCTCTTTGTGTCATGTTTTGGTGGGTTTTATTAGAGATTACAGTTCTTTATCTGTTAAAGGTATTTTTACCATTAGAATCCACATATTTGGTACCGTTGCAAAAGTCCCTAGAAAGAAGGAAAGTATTAATTGTCAAGAGAAATAAAGGCAGAAAAGGGAGCAACAGACGCTTGGAAACCACAGAAGTGGTTAGGGAAAAATAATGATCTGTGTTTCCTTGCAGATTGTGTTCTGCCAATGAAAACAAATAAGTTTTTGATGAAAATTCACTGCTGATAATGTTTTGAAGACCAAACCCCTTGTGGTGTGTCTTTGGCCAAAGGATTACGTTGCACGGTTTTAGGTAGCATCAGTGAAAAATGATACTGTGTAACTGTCCTTTATTAAGCAGTAGCCAAAGCATCTCAGTAACACTGGTTTGGTCACCAGCCTAAAACACAGCATGAGGAGGAGAAAATTAATCCATCCCAGTTATTGTAGAAATCGGGATTATGTGAATGAGTTTAGAATGTAATATTTTGTCAGAATTGCATACTGATCAACGTGTTTGAGGAGAGTATCCTTGTGTGAGAGAGACTACTCTTTCCTTGAAACTAAAGACCATGGAAAAAGAAAAATAATTATTTTCTATGTTTGAGATATGTGAGGCTCTGTTCTGATGTAATAACTTTTACTAAAGAAATTCCCCTTTTTGCCCTTTCCATCTCCCCACTAACCCACACCACTCCCTCTGCATTTTAAGAGCTGTCAAATTTCCGGTCAGATTTGGTCACAATAACTCTGCTTCTTGATGTGACACATTTACCTTTATGGAAGTGTAGTGGGTTGACCCTGGCCAGGTACCCACTAAAGCTGCTCTATCACCCTCCCTTTGCAACTGGACAGAGGAGAGAGAAAAAAAACAGTTGAGGATTCATGAGTAGAGATAAGAACTGGGAGAGGTCACTTACAGATTACCTTCATGGGCAAAACAGATTCAAAGTGGGGATAGTACTTATATTTATTACTAACAGGATAAGAGCCAAAGAGTGAGAAGTAAAACAGTCTTAAAAACACCTTCCCCCTACCCCTCCTTTCTTCCATGTTCTCCTTCCTCTCCCCCAGTGGTGCAGGAGGACAGGGAATGAGAGCTGCTGTCAGGTGTTGTTTCTGCTGCTACTCAGGGAGAGGAGTCCTTCCCCTGCTCCCATGGGGTCCCTCCCATGGGAGACAGTCCTTGATGGACCTCTCCACTGAGTCCATCCCTCCAGCAGCAGTTCTTCCCAAACTGCTGTCCCGTGGGTCACTCTGCCATGGGGTGCAGTCCTTCACAGGGGCCACAAGTCCTACCCAGGAAAAGCCTGCTCCAGCCTGGGCTCCCTCTCCACAGGCCACAGGTCTCCTGCAGGACCCCACTCCCTCCTGGGCCTCCCACGGGGTCACAGCCTCCTTCATGCAGCCACCTGCTCCAGCATGGGCTGCTCCATGGGGCTGCAGGGGGGTCTCTGCACCCCAATGGCCCCCATGGGCTGCAGGGGCACAGCTGCCCTGCCATGGTCTGCACCACGGGCTGCAGGGCCTCAGCTCTGGAATCTGGAGATCCTCCTGCCCCTCCTTCTGCACTCACCTTGGTGTCTACTTTGTTGGTCACATATTCTCACTCGGCTCTTCCCTGGCTGGAATTTTCTTCTGTGCAACACTCCTGTGTGCCTAAATATGTTATCACAAAGGTGTTACTCCTCATTGGCTCGACCATGACCAGTGGCAGGAAGTCCATCCTGGAGCCAGCTGGCATTGGCTCCTCGGGACAGGGGAAGCTTCTGGCAGCCTCACCTGCTACCAAAATCCAGCCACAGAAACCCACTACAGGAAGTTATTATGTCATTGAGGAGGGACCCTGCAGTACATAATGCAGTTTCATCCCTCTTTCTGCAGACCCGGTGCAGTGGTCGACAGACCATGTGCTGCACTGGGTGGTGTGGGTGATGAAGGAGTTCAGCATGACCGACATCGACCTCTGCACGCTCAGCATTCCTGGGAGGGAGCTCTGCAGCCTCAGCCAGGAAGACTTCTTCCAGCGCGTCCCACGGGGAGAAATCCTCTGGAGCCACCTGGAGCTTCTCCGAAAGTGTACAGTAGAACTTTCTGTTCCTGGTTTTACTTATTCCCCCTCCCCACTTCTCTGTTTCCCTTTCTTTCTTTTAAGATGAAACCAGTTGTGAGCAGTTATTTTTCTTTTACTTAATAATGGGACTAAAAATGAAGTAACAGGAGGTATTAGAGAGAATGTCTACTGCTGTGGAAAATGTCTGCATACTAAACACTGCCTGCCTTTTATCAAACTTCATCACTAGGAGAAGGTAGTGACTGATGATTCCTCCTTTGTTTTTAATAAAGATTTGTAGTTTGTGCATCTACTGAATTTGATCTCTAATTAAATATCGATTATGAGTTATTAAATGTACATTTCTGTGTCATACAGAAATAAAGATTATTAAGCAGAGGCAGTGAAATCCTTAGATGGTACACAAGACAACTGATGAGTGATGCATTGTATGTGCATAATACATTAATATATGTGTACCTTGGAATTTGCCATGTACACCCTTATTTCCAAAAACTGAGTGACAGATGTTAAATGTCTCTACTTGTAGGACCATGAGCTATACATGTCTCTTGTAGACAGATACCAAATTTTGACTTTTTTCCTCTATGAAAGATGAATGTTTTTGATCTTCAGTGACTTGAAATCTGTAGGTTAAATAAAAACATACTGTTTTTGTTTCTAATTTGCAGATGTGTTGGCTAGTCAAGAACACACTGGAGAAATAGCAACTGTTACTATTGATCAGCGTGAGTGCTTCTGTCAGCATTAATTCTCACTGTTTGCAGGTTTAGCCCTGTACTTTGGTTCAGCTCTGTGACAGTACAGCATTTAGATAATCACTTAAGAGAGTAGTTTTCCTTGGGGAGGGGAGCAAGATGTATTCTAAACTTCAAAACATAATGTTGAGTTTCTCTATATTTTGTTAGTGGCTGAAAGGTGGTGTATCACCTGAACTGTGGGAGATTATATCTTTCATTTTGGATGGTAGATTTTCCATTCAATGGAAATAAGCTGTCTAGGATACATATTTGAGGTTTTTAGTTATTCTGGGGTTTTAGGTTATATATTGCATTAATGAACAGATACATTAAAGTATTAATTAATTAAAAAAAAAAGAATTTCCAAAAACTGAAGGGGCATGTGGAAGACTTGCTTATAACCCAATACTAGAAATAATACACTAAAGTAACTTTCCAGTTATTTGAAGCTGATTCTTTCAGCTGAAGCAGTGCCATCAATTATTAAAATGAATCAGTTTTCAGAAGACTTGTAAGCAGCTTATATTAAATAGACAGGCTGTGTGTTACGTCCTGGGGTTGTGTCTGGTTGAAACCTACTCGAGTGGGGCATTTTCATCCTCCTCCATGGCAATAGAAGGGTGTTTACTGTTTGAATAGCAGGTTTGGAGGGTGGTACAGTGACTGTGGAGAAAAGGGCATTAGTGCAGATCATGTGGGAACAGCATAAAGATGAAAACAAAGGCATGAGAGAAATTGGGTGGGTTTTTTTATGGAAACACGTAATACACATGATAGTAAACTAAAGCTGATGTTTTACCTGTAATGTGACACTTCTACAACGAATCTAAAACTACAGTTTTCACTGTAAGAGATAAAAAGTCTTTAAATTATACTCAGCATTGTGACTTATGTGGTGTGCCTTTTTAGCAAAGGGAAAAAAAAACACAAGCTTCTCTATGTTACGATAATCCAGGTAATAAATAAAATATGGATGTTTCTGTGCAATTTATAATTGATGTTCTGCAACGTTCTCTGCTCCACAGCTGTGCAGATTATTCCAGCATCTGTGCAGCCTGCTACCCCGACCACCATTAAGGTGATAAACAGCAGTGCAAAGGCAGCCAAAGTGCAGCGAGCTCCAAGGATCTCCGGGGAAGACCGGAGTTCCCCTGGGAACAGAACAGGTACCGTCTCCATTATTTTTACATGCAAATGCAGTGAACACTAACTCATTAATTTGAATGGCAGTTTGGTGGAACTCATCTTTGTTGCACCAAGTGTGAGGTTTGTAGGAGGCCATGTGGTATAAAGGGAACAGTAGGTACAAAATCCGTGGTAAGCACGGGCAGCCCTGGCAGGTTGGTCGGCTCACACAAGCATTGTGTTAAGGTGGTGCTGCAGTTTTTCAGTCCTGCAGTAAATAAAAAACATAAAATTGGGTTTTTTCGCTATTCTTTACCAGTCTGTCCTCTCAAACCACTGCATAGCTTTTCTTCAAGCTTTTAACTTCTTTCCATTTGCAGAAAGGGGACAAAATAAATTGTATGTTGTAGAAACCTGGCCTAGCTGGTACTTGCTCTGCTTGTTCCCCTTCTCCTCTGTTATCCCCCAGTTTGGTGACTTCAAAGTTTAGCAGGTTTCGTATTTTTTGTTTAGTTAAAAGAATGCACATCTGAAAAACTACGGACTAAATCTTCAGTTTATTTTTGGAATTACTGTTACTTGTTCCATGTCCTTTGATTATTACTAACACATCCTTATTTCTTTACCTTATTTTTTCTTGCTATCATTTTTGTTTTGGTTCTCTCCACTGTTGTGAATTTTTCTGTTAAATCCTTTCCTCTCCTTGAGTTTTTGGGGTTTTTTTTTCAGATTTTCCATAAAAGTTTAATTATGGGAAATCATTCAGAATTCTTAGGCCAAGATTTTATTGACTGACGTTAGCAGGGAATACTTTGTATTTCTCCTCTTAGTCATCAGGTCTGCTCTCCTTATCTCATTGAGAATTTAGGAATTTTACTGCAGGTCCTTGAGTTAGAAAGAAATCTTAATGATTGGACATGAAAGATGTTGATGGAAGCTGAAGTTTGGGAGCTTCCTTTGTATTTCTAATATTTCATGTTGAAAATTGGAGACCAAATTACTTTTTAAAAAGACAGGTTCATTTTTTTAAAAAAGAGGAACGTGTGAAGAGGAATAAGCAGCTCTTGCTAAATCTGTTCTGTTTCAGAGATAAATATGTGTCTAAATTATTTTGTTCACTGGAGTATTTTTGGGGGTTTGTTTTAAGTTCTAGGGACAGATTTATGAGAAATCTTGATTAACATTTTCCTGAATTCATCAGTTGTTTAATAGGTGGATACTGGTGACTTCCCAGGAAAATGTTTGCAAAAGAATCATTAAAAGAGATTAATTAAGTGCAAGTTGTCCTTCCGTCATATGTTCTGTGTTGGTCTGCTTAAATATGTTGGTTGAAAATTTATATCAGTGTGGGGAACATAAAAAGGACAAGTTGAAATGGATCTTGTTGTTCCTGTTTCAACAGGGAACAACGGCCAGATCCAGCTGTGGCAGTTTTTGTTGGAACTTCTCACTGACAAAGATGCTCGGGACTGTATCTCTTGGGTTGGTGATGAGGGAGAGTTTAAATTGAATCAGCCTGAACTGGTTGCACAGAAGTGGGGACAGCGCAAAAACAAGCCCACCATGAACTACGAGAAGCTTAGTCGGGCCTTGAGGTAAGAAACTTGAGGGACTCGGATGGGATTTGCTTTCATTTGGCTCCTTTGCCTTTAACTGTCATAGCGCAAGACGTGCAGCTTTTTTAATAAAGGGGTAAACAAATCTTCTGAAGCTGGTCCTTACCATCAGATTAAAAGAAAATAGATTTCCTTTCTTCAAGATTGTTAATTTGGGTAGTTCACTTTCAGAAATATGCTTTTTTTTTTTTTCCCTGTATCTTCAGCATTTATGCTCTTAGTAGCATGCCAAACAATATTGATTATTGGTGAAAGATACAGAAATGTGAGAATTATTATCTTATTTTTTATGTTTTACTCTGTGTGTTCCTCCTATTATGCGATAAAGCAGATACTTTCCTGTAATTATGTAATTGTTAGTAGTTTTCTGTACATAACAGCCTTTTTTCACATATTCATTGATCCCTTTCACTGTTCTTATTGTGGGGGTGTTAAATTGAAAAATGCAGGTGACAGGTAAGTTCCAGCAGCTGCAATTCAGCATCCCAGTGAACTTTCCTCATCTGAAGAAATGGAAATGTTTCAGTGTCTTCATTCCAGTGGGATTTTGTAGTTTGACATTGGTAAAAGGGACCTGTATTTTTGAATCACTGTAGGTGATGTACTCATCACCTACAATGATGAGTACATCACAGGGGGAATTGTGCAAGTACCAGAATTTTAGACTTCTTTTCCCTGATTATTTTGATCTCTGGAATCATTTTAAACTACATCCGAATTCCCTGAAATCACTAAGAGTGAACTTCTGATTTCTTATTGTGATATGATTAAATATATTTTTCCTGATTTGTTTTCAAGAAAGATGTTCATTGCCTAATCCTGCAAATTATTTAAGCAGTTTTAGGAATTCTTTTTATATGAGTGAAGTTGCATAACAGTTGAAATCTGAGATCTGTGATTTGCTCTTCAGCATTTTCACTTTTGATACTTTTTGTCGTAGTTTTTGGGTTTTGAGGTTTTTTTAAGTAAATGCCTTTAGCATTGCTTAAAAAAAATCAACTTCTACTTAAAAATACCTCTGTAAGAAATGATGGTAAATTTACCAAATTCTGGCTTTCTTAGTCTTGTAGGGAGGATTTAATTAACATCTGGCAGGCACCAGATAGACAGCTTAACTATGCCCTTTTGTTTGTCTTGGAATTTCCTTAGGCACAATATTGTGGATGCCAGAATTACTTTATGTGTTTGAGAGGAAAGTGGAAAAATTAATGAAAAGGAAATATTTTGGAGGATATTAGGTGTGGAAAGATGCAACTTTATCTTAGTTCCTGAACCTTGGATCACTGAAAGCAAGGAGGAACATTGATATGTATTTACTCTCATGCTTTTCCTTAGGTGTCATGTTTTGGTCTGTTTGGAGTCTATTCCTGTCCTAGATGGATATTTAGTCTGGCCCTGTGTGCCTGTTGTTGCATTATTTATATATTAAATCAGAGTGTTAATTTTTTCATAGGATCACAGAATCCTTGGGGTTGGAAGGGCCTCATGAGGTCCCTGGTCCAACCTCCTGCCCCAAGCAGAACCTTCCCAGTACAGCTGCTCCCCAGCCTGTATTGTTGCAATACCATCCCCGTGTTTCCAGCCTGGTTTTGTGTAGCTGTGAGTTTGTGTACCGAAGGCATATGTGAAAACTTTCAGGAACATAAAAATAATAGAAACTGTGCTAATGCTTTTGGGGTTTTGTCAGCAAGCTCTGCAGAAGATCTCAAAGGCAGCTGAAGAACTTCAGAGTAATGTTCTTATGGCTGGGATATTAAAGGGATGTCTGCACAATCATTTGCATAAATCACTATTAGAGAAGTTTTGTGTTTATACTTTAGTCACAGAATTACAAAAATCACATTCCTCAAAGTGTTGCCATTTTGGCAGCTGCATCAATATTGACATGTTTTCTAACACCTAAATGTCTGAAGGGATATTTAATGCCTCTTGCTACTCCCATGATAAACATTGTTGCCAAGCTAATGTTGTATTAAGCACTGATGTGTTTTGTTTACTAATGTACTGAAATCACTGTGTCAGTTGTTGGTTAATACAGAAACTGATGTTGGTATTACTGAGAAACGTGCTGGCTCTTCTGCCCAGCTGTAGGGAAAGCAGCCAATACAGAAATTAGGGCGGGGGGTGGAGTAGGGGGGGGAAGAGCAGCTTTTTTTGTTACACATACCTTGGTAAATTTTCTAAAATTCAGCATCTGTTTAGTTATCCGCTAGGGAAGTGGGACGTAAGGAAAGTAATTCATCTCCTGTATTCTTCTGAAACAAAGTTTTCATGTGTCTTGGAATGTTCCAGTAACTAAGGCTTTGTAAACTTGCATGGGCATTTATTTTTAGGTTTCTATATTTTTGAATAAGCAAATGCTGTAATCAGAAACACCTTCAACATAATATTGAAAATATCCTCTTGCCACATTGCCTTGATTTTAACTTGAGTGTTTCTAGCATGAGATGTGGGAATCTTGCATTGTTCTGGGCCTTCACATAAGTGTGATCTGGTTTCTTGTGGTCCTTTTCCTTTCTGATAATATCAGTAATGCAGACTAAATAATTAAAAGTATATTCAGCCCTGTAAAGCATTTTTCTACGTTACTTTGAGACAGGCATTCTTGTACAGGATTGTACAATAAATGTAAATGCTAACTTTAAAAAAATTATGGACATTGGCATTTGACATGCCACGGCCACATTTTACAAACTTGCTCTTGGAATTGACTCAATTTTGCCTGTGAACAAGGATCATCTTTGCTTTATAAGCATATCAGTCAGAGGATTGAGTTTATACAGTGAAGAAATCTGGCTTCATTTGTGCTACATTTGGGTGATGGGTCTGAGGCAGTTAAACTGTGAGATTTGTGTTGGTTGGTTGGGTCGGATTTGGGTTTTTTCTCCAAATTTATCACAACCTTGTTAAACACATCAAATCCAAGTTACATCCCAGCCACTCAGGGTTGCTTAATGAGAAGTGTGACAGGCATTCTGTTAATGCCTGAACAGCAACAAAACTGCACAATTCTAACTTTTGTTTTATTAGTGCGACCTAAAGTTTTATAACATCTCTGGAGTGCAGTGGGTCATGTAAGACTTTATCTTACTGCATTTCTGCCCAGTCTGATAACTCTTTTGTCACACAATATAAAAAGTAGTCGTAGTTAGAGATGTCACTTGTAGTTGTGAATGAGGGCAAAGATGTAGCTTTGCCAGCATATGAACTATAACAAAAAACAAACAAAAAACTAAAAAGTAAAAAACCCCCACAAAAACCAAACCAACCAACCAACCAAACAATGCAAAAAACTCTAAAACCCCCAAACCCAACCCATGCTTGTATAGTTTTATTACCACCTTTGAAAACACTAGGGGGAGAATGGCTGCTTTCCTATCATAAAAGTTACAGTGCTAATTTACAACCCGTTTCCAACATGATTTTTTTTTTCCTCAGGAGACAAGAGTAAAGCAAAGGACGATAATGAATGGGGAGACAATATTTTCTTACTAAGACAAAGCTATAAAGTTTGACATATAAACTATATGTATAACTGTTTCCCCCTCAAACTGTTTTTAAACTTCTCTTTTACTTATGAACGGGTGCTTCTGACTGCCTATAAACTAATTACTGTGTTTTATTTCTCCTTAACATATCAAGGTGCAGGGACAATTTTCAACCCTCTTCCCTTTTCTCATATAAGAAAATGCCTAAACACTCTCTTGGTATATGAAATGATGAGTATCTCGATGAGAAAAGGAATCCTATTTTGGCCTCCGAGTGACCTTTAAGTAAATAACTGATGTATATGGAAATCACAGATGCTGAAAATTCACACTGCTGGTTTCGTTTCCCTTTTTGCAGGTATTACTATGACGGAGACATGATCTGCAAAGTGCAGGGGAAGAGGTTTGTGTACAAGTTTGTGTGTGACCTGAAGACCCTGATCGGGTACAGCGCGGCGGAGCTGAACCGGCTGGTCACGGAGTGCGAGCAGAAGAAACTGGCCAAGATGCAGCTCCACGGCATTGCACAGCCGGTGACAGCAGTGGCACTGGCTACAGCATCCCTGCAAGCAGAGAAAGACAACTAAGCACTAGGACCTGAAAGTGGGAACCTGAGGCCTTTCCTCTGCAACCAGAGCAGTTGCTGCTCCCAACTTTATGAGAATTGGAAACTTCTGCTGTTCCTTGACCATACAATATAGGGCGTGATTTTCTATAAAGAACTGGGACTCACATAAATTTGGATCTTTTAGCAGCATGTATTTCAGTGTAAGTTAAGGGATCCCCCCCAGCTTCTGCAGCTGTGAGTCAGGGCCTCCATGGTGTGCAGCTGGTGAGAGGTGGAACCACTCAGGCTGTGTGACCACGGCTGTGCAAAGTCATTTCTGCAGCACTTATAACAAAAATGAGTCCTCACAGCAAAAAGGCTGACCAGCTGTCTGAACACAGCCCTTCCCAGTCTTTTGTTCTCTGCTGAATTACCAAGTGGCATTTGATGCTTTCAGAGTTAAAATATATTCATTATTCTCGGTTAATCAAGCAGAGCCGAAAGACACACTAAATGTTACGAAGCATCAGGTTCTTAAAATAGCTTCTGGAATAGCAAAGGAAACTAAGACTAGGCTTAACTGGAGATCAGTGCTGAAGAAGGAGATCCAGGTTTAGATCTGGCTTAGGTGAAAAGCCAATTATGAGTATTTCATTGTAATATGTAGATAATATGCATATATGAGGGCAAATACCTGTTTTGAAATATGTCGTTGACATTTGCCATTTAGCAAAAAGCAAAGATAAACTTCTTCCCCCACTACCACCCCCCATCAGGTCATTCAAAAACTTGAAAAAACAGCCCTCACCCAAAGAGTAGTTTGTTTTTGGGGGGGGGAAGGGGGTTAATGCTGTGTTCTGCAAGGTGCTTAAACCAGCACAGTAGTCAACCTTAGTATGCTAAGACTTAAGTTAATCACAGTCAGTAGTCCCTGGTTAAGAACAAAAAGCAATTTGAAAGTAGTTGACAGAGCTGAAGTTTGATTTCCCAATCATTGTACAGTCTGATATATATTAAAATACAAAGAGGCATTTTTTATTTAAAATTTATTTCTCTCTTAACTTCAAGTGGTATTTTCAAAGCTTCTTAAGCCAAATGCATGACCCAGAGCTGGGTGCAATTTGAAGAGGGGATGAATTCTGAGCTATGCTTCATGCAAACTTACACATGCAGTAAAAAGCAGGCTGCAGCTTTTTAGCTTCTGTACTGGTGCCTATGAGTGCTGCTTTTGATGGCTGAAAATGGTGCGATTTGGGGGTTGCTTTTTTCCCCTTCCTGTTAATAAACAGTATAATTATTATGTCACCGTTGGTATTTACCAACGCTTTATAAGTCAAAGCCCCTCTGGTAACACTTAACAATTAAAAGGGAAGACCTTTAATTCTGTGAGGGATCCAGCTATCTTAAACCTTAAACCTGAAGTCCCTGTACGGTGAGGTTCTGAACATGAAGTGTGTTTGTGCTGGACAGGGAGAGCAGGAATGGTCACGCTTGGATGCAGAAGGTAGAGGACGTGAAGACTCGTGTATTTTAAAGATGTGTTGAGGACAAAGCTTTTTGTTTGTAGGTAGATACTCATCTCCAGATAGTTTTTGCTTAACTAGAAATCTTGCATGTAGTTCTGGCTTACTGTTTTTCATCATCACCATGAATGTAAAATATTTTTTGCCAGATTCTGTGGTACCTCTCACTATTGTTTTCACTCTTGAGCTCTCAAAGCACTCCATCTGCTGAGCATGCTGGCTTCATTTTGCTTTTAAAAAAAAATCTAAACCCTGAGCAAAAAATGTAAGTGCATCTGTTTATGAGAGGTCAACATGAGTCCATTTATTGCTATTAGAGCAGTCTGGTGCCACCAGTTGGCAGGTGTTTGAAGTGGCTTGTGCAGAGAGATGAGGGTTTGCTTACCAAGAATGATGTGAAGGTGGTAGTTTGGTGGTAGCACCTCTAATTACTAAACAGTAATTAATAGTACAAGTCACTGGTTCTATTTAGCAGGGTTGTTGAGAGGCCTTTTTAGTTAAAATACAGTATAAAAAGAGAAGAAGCTTTTCTACATCAAACTGGACTGTGGGAGGATAAACAGCAAAACTGAAATTTAATCAAAACTTGATTCCCCTGCGTGTTCTTGTTACATGGTAAGTCCAGTGGGGAAAACTCCTGCTCCCACCCTTGGTCTGTAAATACATCCCATTATTGTTTTGCAGCTTTTCAGTAGGTGTGATGGTCCTTTGGGTTCTTTGTTGTGCCTCCATCTGCTTTTCCACCAAGTTCTAATTAGTAAAGAAAGAATCTTTCAAACGGCATAAAATCATTATCACATTCTCTGTAGTTGAGGGAGAAGTCTGTGACTAACTTGATGTCTTCAATGAAACAAAAGATGTAGAATATATTGTCAAAGGTTGTTCTGTTGCTGTCAGAAGGAAAACACAAAGAATATTCCAAATTTTTGTAAAATGGAACGTTTTTTGCATACTTTTTACTCTTTAAATAAAGACACTTATACTCTGCTAATAATTACGTATTTCTTTTGTGGTTTACTTTTTTTTTGGTAATTTTACATGAAACAATTATTTTCTATTTTTACTCTGATAAAATATTTGTGCATAAAATGTCAATATAGTAAAATAAAAATGTTATACAGCTAATGCCTGTTGACTTCTTAATTTTTCAGAAAGCCATTTGTAATGTCATTCAGGTGCAAGCAGTTCACCTGTCTTTTTTTTCTCTTTTCTCCTAAGGTCAGAAGCTCAGAACAGGAAGAAGGCACTCACTTCATATTCTGAAGGTGCATCTTCTTTGACTCAATACTTGGCTATGTGTTTCTGCTTTTAAACTGGAACTTGGTGTCCTTTCTTTCTTTTGCAGCTTTCTTTAACGTCTTCATTGTGAATCTCAAAGTGTTGCTTTGATTTAAAAAAAAATTATGAAAACCTAATAGTAGGACTGAAATGGAGCTCTATGAAATGGTTCATTTTATGCTTTTAGTGGTGTTTAAATCAGAAAGATTCATGTTGATCTGTAAACTTTGGACTTCTTCATTTCTGCAAGTGGCCCCACTCATTTCACGTGGCCCTGCTAACTCAACTGTTTGTACTGTCCTGGTTAAAAAGAAGATAAAATTCTGGTTATGCTGCTATTGCTTTATTTTAAAATGATGTCTCATTATACCTCTGAACTCCTCCATCTGGGCTGCCAAATTCCAGACAGAAATATTTTGTCACCTTTAAACTTGCCGCATCACTTTATTTCAAAATGTTTATGTTTAGCTTAGCAGCAACAACATGTAATGGACTGAAAACACTGGGTTTAGAACACTGCAGTAACTTACTGGACTTCATGATCTTGGAGGCCTTTTCCAACCTAAATGATTCCATGCTTTTGGAGTGCACTTAACAAATGTTTGGTATTGTATTAATTGAGGACCTTTTATTTGTGTTTATAGCTATTAATATCTTTATGCCTTATGTGAGCTTGTTTTGGAATTCCTGTTCTCATACAGAAATTGTTATTGGAGCAATATAGGGAATTACAGCTGGCAGCTTGCAACCAAAACAAGCTGACATAGAACTCTGTTACCTGATAAAAAAGAGTAGTACAAGGTCCATTTGCAAAGGTTTAAGGGGAATATTTTTACTGACTAGACTGGAGTGTTTTGTTTTTCAAGGTCATACATATTGTTAAGGGCTGTGGGTTTAATGTATCATCAGGACTGCTACAATATATTTGGGTTGATACTGTATAATTTTTTTTTGGAGGTAACTCTTAATATGAATTACTCTAAATAAGAGATAATTAAAGGAGAGGAATGGCTGACTGTGTTTGAGGGTTGTAATGCAGAATCCCATGCATTAGACATATTATGACTCAGTGACATTTTGCATCATTATTTCAGAATTGGAGGCCACAGAATCTAATCAGGCACCAAACTGAAATGTTACCATCTTGTAATTTTATTGGCATCTCAGCCATTAATGATTTGAAACTAAAGTTAAAACGTGCTGAGGAGGGAGAAAGAAATATTGAAGGTCTGTCCTTTAGTAAAAATTGTCTTTTACTTGTGGAGCTGGTCTTCTGCAAGCCAGAATTAAATGGTTCTAATGACAGTTGCACCAGAAGATAGGTGTGGGAGCCACAAACCAGTTCTCATTTACTTTGAAAAACAGGTATCAGTTGTTGGGTTTGTGGCACAGAACATCCATGTTAAGTTCTTTTTGTAGGTGGTGTTGCTGTAACCAGCTGTGATGGGAAAGAAAGAATCCAAAGAATTAATGATTGATCGTAATTTTAAGCAACTTACTCATGGAGTTACTTAATAGAAATTAAGTCAGTTTAGAAGAGATAACTCTGTATCAGAAACAGTTGGAATCTGCATGCAAATGGTTGACTGTTACCAGAAAAGCTGAAACTCCCTGTAGAGCATTAATTTTTCATTGTCCAACCCTTCTTTACTTATAAAACAGTGTCTGCTAGACACCAGATAGTAATAAAAATTTAGTTTATGGTCATTTTCAGGTTGCAGAAATTGAAAGGGCTGTTTAGAAACCTCAGGAAAAATGCTTGTTTGGTTCAGCACAGCTTTGGGGAGTGAGAAAACTTGTGGAGACATTTAATTTTGCCTATTGGTTCAAGTATTTGCTGCTAATTATTTAAATGAGCTGGGAGTCTTTGGTAGTAAAAAACCCACATTGTCCATAATAGATCTGAAATCTTAAGATACCTTTTTTTTTTTTTTTGTCTTACCTTTGCAACCTGCCTTGTAACCTAAATGTAAGAAATTAGCATTTAAGGCCTGTATTTCTAGTCCTATGAGACCAACCTGTCAGAATTCGCTGATCAAGGTAGAATACCCCCATCTCAGTAGACAAAAAGCAAATTATATAAATTATATATAAGAATATGTAATATATCAATTATTGATTATAATGGAAGCAAACATGGATGGCACTAAAAGTGTTTCTTAGAAATTAGATTTGGGTTTTTTTAGAAATTCCTCCCAGTTAGGGAAAGGTAATTTGGGATGAAAAAAAATGTGAGTTAGCTGTTTCTCCCTTCATCCTGGTAAGCTTCAGTTTTTCAATATTCTTATTTTCAAGGGCTCTGCAGGAGCTTCCTTGCAGGAACTGGGTTTGCATAAACCTTCAGCTGCAGAAGGCAGTGAGAAATCAGCCTGTTTTATACAAATCTTGTCAGGGTGAAAGCTGCAAACAAAAGTTAATCTGGAAGAGTGAGAATGTGAGAGCTGAGATTTAATGAGATTAACCAGACATTAATTAGACACCTGCGGGGTGCAGTTCTTCAAACTTCAGGGTTAGGGTAGAAAAGATATTAATTTTTTTCCTCTATCAATGCAAGGTTTTATTCCAGAAACTCAAAGCCGTGTTACTCCCACATCCTGCTGTGTCCAGCCTGTTTGGCTCCACAGAAAGTGCTCCATGTGGGAATCCATAATACCCACCTCGGGACTTTGATGTCCCCATTGAGAGCAGCAAAGGGAGGTCAGGGACAGTCAGAGAGGATGTGAAACTCACTGTGAAACTTGAGTCTTTCCTGGCTCTTGTCCCATAAAAAGAGCTGAGGGAGGCAGAACTGATGGGAAGCAGCTTGGCTAAGAACCATAAATTAATAAGATGACCTGAACTGTACCCAACGAGGAACAAGAAGCTGTTACAGGAGCTTGAACTTGTCCTCAGGAATAATTCAGCAGAGCTAAAGTGAGCTTTGTAAGAATGAGAAGAAAAAAAAATCACCTGGGGGATAGTTTTAGAGTAGAGGAGTTTTTATGGAGAAGATTGGTGTCTGTCTTTTGTGCTCTACTAACTTTTCAACCCATGGGCCAGTTACATCTAAAGGGTTACGAGTAACAAAAACAAGTTCTGGGAAACTGAAGAGCTGGGTCAGTGTGATCACGCCCAAGTTAGTGTGCCCAGGTAGGAAAATAAAGCCTAATTCAGCCTTTTTGCAATCAACAATATGCCGTTGTGGTCACTTGGTGAATTTTGCGCAGCCGGAGAAGCAGGAAAAAAACCAGAGGGTTGTGACTCATGGGCCTGCATGTGTCAGAATGGAAAGGTCTCAATTGTTTTGGAAAACAGGTTTCAACAATTAGTTTTGATGAAGTATTTTATCAAAAGGATAGTTCTTCAAGGAGAGGCAGTAACCAGCCAGAGCACAGTACCCTAAACCATAGCTGTTTAGGACACTAAACTGAAAATAGCAATAGGAATTAATTTCGTAAAAAGCTGATAAAAACAGACAGGTGGCAATAGACTTTTGCCCTGGACCAGAAGGTGAACTAGACCACGCTGGCAGGTACAAAGAGGATTGAGGAGCTTTGCCGGGATGGTCTGCCAGAGTGATCAAGGGGCTTTGCCCAGGACTGAAGTAAAACTGGCTTGTGTTGAGGGACTGAACACAGAAAAGTTCTGTACAAGTTTATAAATGTGTGTGTGTGTGTGTATATATATATGTATGTATGTAAATAAATGACATATATACATAGGGGAAGGGGTGTTCCCCCAGGCTTTGCTTGGTCAGATAGAATTGCATCCTTGGGACTTCACTGTGCAATAGAGAAAGCTGAAGCCAGTCAGTGCTTTAATTTTTTTATTTTTTTTTTTTGTTATTATGGTTAAGTCAGATCTGGCTGAAGAGAACAAATTGAGGGAAGAAATAAAAACTTCTTCCTTAGAGGTATAAAGCTGCTCAGAAATGTCAACTATCAGGCTCGAGGAGTTATTAAATAGACTGAATATAAATGCAGGTAGAGCACTGATGTTGGCTGAAGGTGCAAGGCCAGCCAGAGGGGATAGGAACAGAGCCATCCACCAACAAATAAAAATGCAGGGAAGCAAAGAAACTCCTGACTCAGCTGAAGCAGCTCTGAGAAAAGTGCAGTAAGAGCCGTAGCTGCTGTCTGGGAGCAGCCTGGTGCTGCCAAGGGACTGTCTCCTGTTGGCTCCCTCTCCCACAGAGCCTCTGTAACTAAACCAGGTGGTGTCAAGGTAGTTCTTGATTTTATCCTCACTGGCTGCTGACCAAAGGAACTGGCATTGATTATCCCCTTGGGCCAGGAAGTAAACAGTTAAATGAGTATTCCCTCTATCCTTTTCAACAGTGCACACCTAGAACCATGTCATCTCCTGTTATCTGGGCTTCAGTGAAGGGTTCTGCAAACCTGCCACGATTAAACTTTGGGCATCCTATGGAGAATTATTTTCAATATCAGCTAACAGGTATGTCTGGTGAGCAGTGATCCCAGGGAACAGACAGCTTCCAACACACTGTTATAGTACACTGTTATCCAGAGAAGCATTTTAAGTGACCCATTTAAAGACTTCAATGCTGAAACCTCTGCCTATGGGAGGATCTTGTGTTTTGAGGGTTTTTAACTCTATTTAGCCTTGTGATTGTAGAGGAGCTCTCACTAGAGAGAAACATATTCTAATGGTCTACATTTTTCCTTCAGTTTTCCATTGCTTGAGCAACCAATGACAATTTTATTTCAAACAGGAGCAAGATTAAAGTTTGTTCACTGCAGAGAAACTCACGAACTTCATACTAACTCAATCTGACTTTCACAAATAGTTTGGGAATTACTGAAGCTATTTACTCCAGTAAGAACTTTGCCCCTTCCCTTTGCTTATATCACCTTGGAAAGTCTTCAGTGAAATGGAAGAACTGAAGGCAAAAGTACTCCCCTTTCCTGTCAGTGGTCCCAGGGAGTGTGCTGGCTCAGCACCTGCCTTTTTGCCAAAGGGCATTGGTGCCAAAACAAGTCCAGGAGTGATGTTCTCCCAGAAAGTTCAGCTTTTTCCCTTCTTCCAGCAGACATGCTGTGTGCAGACTGGTTTTCAGGGGACAATTCCATCATCTCTTAAATTAGATTCTGTCTAGAAAATGCATTTTTTTTTTCCCTGTGACCTTTAGGGTCATACAGTTTTCTGTATGGAAAAGGGGCAATTTCCCTTTGCAAGGCTTATCTTAGACAGAGAAAATATGTTGTCACTTGCTGGAACTGAAAACTTTAGCCATTAAACAAAATCCTAATCCGAAGGCCTGGTAGTGGTGCTTCAGCAAATCAATAATAGATGTAAGAGCAGCAAATGTCAGAGTGAGTAAGAGCTCATAGAGCTTCTTTTCCCAAAAGATGAGCTCAGCTGCACCTATGGAGATTTTTGGCTGAAAAATTTCGTAAACATTAGTATACTGACCCAAGAAAAAGGAACCTTTCTCAGTGCTGAGCTGGGTCTCTGAGAATTTCTTTACCTCTCTTCCTCCTTGAGAAGGGTTTCTCCACCCGCATCTATCAAATATTCAGAAATACAATATTCATGCTTTCTTGCCAAAGAAGAAATCTTGCTGTATTTCCTGCTCATCTGTGTATGCCAGAATTGTCCACGGCACTTTACAGCAATTGTTGATATCTTTCAGAAAGAGATATAATCCTGATTTATGCCCAGATAATATGAAACACATTAGGTTTTTGCATAATAATGCATTGGTAGCCAGAAGCAAAAATTATTATAAACATATGTTAATCATTTATTATTGTGTTGCAACTGCCTTACCTTTTGATGAGAAACATTAAAATACAATTACTACCACTAGAAGGACCAGAAAAAACCCACATCAGGCAGCCAACCTTTCCATAAGACAGTTGCCATCTCCAGCCCTCACAAGAGCTGATTCTGAATCTTCATTCCTGTGTGACTCGATGAGAAATCCCCCCCGTGCCCAGCTCTGTCCCTCAGCTGCGCTGCTGTGCTCCACTTTGCTCTTGCTCATTTCATCTATGAAGAATTTACAGTGACCATGAATAATTGAAGTACAACTTCATTTGGTATTAATCTGGGTAATGCTTTTGAAGAGGGAGGTCATTGGTTGCTTTCAGGTTACGGAAAGTAATAATCTGCCCAAGATTTTTGGGTTTAAGAAGAGCTGAGGCGTCTTTTTACGCACTGTAGGGGGAACTTAGTTTTGGGTGGAAAGAAACTTCTTTAAAAGAAAGCCCTGCTCCAGTACCAGCGTTTTCCAGCTGATGTCACTCTGACAATGGATTCAAACACACCAGAGAGAATACCAGCACTCTCTGTAGCATCCAGCGATGCTCCTGAGCAGAGTCACGCGTGTGCCGGGGCTGTGGGAGGGGGATGCGCTAACACCCGTGGCGGAGCCGAAGGCTCAGTGCGGGCACCCGTGGGCAGCCAAGCCCGTGGCGTGGGGGCAGGAATGGTGTGGGGCGTTTCCCAGGGCTTGGGACCCCTGACCGTGGCCATCTGCCAGCCTCGGGCTCTGCCCTGGCCGTGCCCCCGCTGCAGCCTGCGGAGCTGGGGATGGGTGGGGGACATCTCCCGGCAGCCTGACAGCCCCTGTCCTTCCTTCGAGAAACAGGAGGGGCCGCCTGGGAGTGCCACGGCGCTTTGGCAGCACAGCACGGGAAGTTTCTTGTTGTCCAGCTCTCAGTGGAGTCATCAGGCATTTGCATCCTAAGTGTACTATTGCCTGCCAAGAAACACATGAATAACGCTGTCAAGGGTGTGGGGGAAATTAAATCCAGAAGAGAGGTAGCGGTGAACGTGCTCCAGGGCTTTGCGTGTAGCTTGGTCTTATTCCACATCAGAACAAAGCCCGGAAAAATCTAAGAAGATAATGTGCA